CAAACGAGCTTCTCATCAAAACCCAGTATTTATATTTCCACATCTCTCTTTACTCCCCAGTATAAGATCTTCAAAGATCCATGAATAAACCAATATCATTACTGATTTCTGAATCTGTAACAGCAGAGTTATCATTATTTAATTTATATGCTAAATGAGGAGTTTCATGGAAATCCTCCAAATCGGGGCCCATCTATGAAATATCACTGCCTTTCAGAAGGGATTTAGTTGTATAAAGGCAAAAAATAACTGGTTCTGGTTACATAGTTAGTGCACCCACAGAAAACTGTATTGTCCAAGTGACCATGGACTTTGGATACTGAAAGTATGTTTCCTTTACAAAATGTAAGGGAAGAATTGAAACGAAGGTGTTTTGTTCCAATCACAGTGTTACATAGTGATGTTCCTATTTGTTTACAAACATCAAAAACAGTGTATTTCAGGCAGCTCTAGTACAAATGTGATAATATTTGAGATGTTATTGTGCTGATGTAGTAGGAGCTGATGAAATCAAACTAGCTTATCATAGCATTGCATGTAATACCTAAATTGTGTGAAACGCTTCTGCTATGTACATGTATAAATTAATATAGAGCATATTAAAAAGGCCAGGATGTGTGTTTGCTTACTTTTCTAGAGAAATATATTTTCATCTTTCATTCATTCATCTTGTCTCTGCTCATTCCATGCTTTCTTCATGTCAGCCATAAACTACCAACAGCCCACCTTGTCAGTCATGTGGGAGGGAGAAAGATCTGAAAGCATAGGTGAAATGATTGACATGTATCACACAATCCTTATGTAACCTAGTGACACAGCCCTCATACTCTTGGTAATATGAAATCATCCATAACTGTCAGTCTGCTATTAGATACATATGGGGATTATAGCAAAGAAATCCAGGATAGGGAAGTACACAATCATTTTGTTGTGTATTAGTTTTCATTATTCTAGAACCAGGCTTGATCTGTCCAGCATCACCTCAGGTCATTAGAATTGTTATAATTACAAGTTTCTAATATAATTTGGAAGAAAGACTAAGACTTAATAAAAGGTAACCAATTAAATATCACTAGGGTGCATAAAGGTCACTATTAGAAAGATTTTTCAGATCCAGAAAGCATGAAATAGAAAACCTGAGGATTAAATGAGAACTACTAAACTAATAAAGGGGAACAAGAGTGATTTGTAGATGTAACACCCTAAATTGCTGCCTCCTGATACCTGATAATTTTTTGAGAAGGGATACACAGAGATGCATCTTTCCCTGTATGTTCCAGAGAGCAGAAATAACAGATTGTTACACCCTTGAGATTTTGAAGAACAAAAAATAATTTCCCACACCATCAATGTAATTCTTCAAGAGGGTGACTTATGCAGAGGTAGCTGCACATCTCTTTAGATTTTCTAATATAAAATTGCTCAAAATGGGCCTTTGTGTACAACTGGATACTATAATCCCGAGGGAGGTGAGGCATTAGAAAAGATATGATAAAATGTTTACCACCATGAAGCAACACCTCATTCATTACTCATTGGTACAGATGTTTCATATATGTCCCATCGTACCATAAGTCTAACATTTACTAATAGTGATGACTGCTTATTTTCTGTGTCATGGGTACAAATCAAAACCTTCTGGGTGAAAACTTAACCACTGATATTCTGAGGGCGGGACAATAAAATGGTATGTATTGTTGGAGATGGTGGTGGCCAAATGTGAGGTCTCCTTCCAAGTAGCATCAAAGAGTTCCAAGCACCAGGAATGTTCTCAGAACAACATCTGCACCATGTTTTATCTAGGACTCATTCCCTAGATAACATGGAAAAACTTCAGTCCTTCCGTAAGTATACTATGGCTCACTACTTGTCATGTGACTTAACACCTTAGGGTTTAATGAGGTGGTTCATAAAAAGTAGAGATCAAATACCACATTTGAAAAGTAATCAAGCAAATAAAGAAAAACTGGATTTGTTCTATTGAAAGAAAAAACTAGTAGTCATACTCCTACCTCAGGTTTAGGTAAAAGTGATGTAATAGATTGATAACAAGTGTGAAGCATGGGGAAATGACATGGAAACATAAAGAAAAAATAATAATGTTATTGCAATGGCAAAGGGAGTTAGGAAGCATTTTCTTTTTTTAAATTCTGAAATTTATTTATTTATTTGTTTGTTTATTTACTAATGTATAGAGGTACTTTATCTGCATGTATGCTGGCAGACCAGAAGAGGGCATCAGATTGTAAGTTAGGAAGCATTTTCTTTTTTTAAAGATTTTGAAATTTATTTATTTATTTATTTACTAGTGTATAGAGGTGCTTTATCAGCATGTATGCCGGCAGACCAGAAGAGGGCATTAGATTGTGAATGTCCATGTGGATGCTGGGAATTGAACTCGGTAACTCTGGAAGAGCAGCCAGTGCTCTTAACCACTGACCATCTCTCCAACCCCACATTTTTAAGCTAAGAACTTTAAAAATATTTTTTGTTTGCAATATGGAGTTAATTTCCTTTCAATATCTCCAAATAATCACATGAAGTGTTGAATAAAAGCACCGTTGAAACTATAGCAAAGTTTTATCTGAAAACCTTTCTAATGTTATATCTTCCTTCACTTAGAGTAACAATGTCTTTGAGGATTTCAGATTTTATTTTAAATGTTGGCCAGCCAGTCCCTTGTGGTCCTGATCAATGCCTATTTTCCACTTAAAGAAATTCAATACATTCTATCTACCTTTCCCAGAAACCCTTCCACTGAAACTCAAACTGAGCCATCCTTTTTTCCCTATTGACCAGTGATGCCACCTAATGTCACTGCAGTCTCCATTGCTGAAATGATCTATTATCTTTTAATTAGGAAAATTTGCCTCCAAATCTCAGACTGTTAGTTAAGTGTTCAATAGAAATTCAATAAAGCTAGTTGAAATGTCTTTTATTTAAAAAAAAAAAAAGTCACAAATAGACCACTATGTCTCAATTCAATCCTGCTAGTCAGGCTAACCAAAGCTAATACATAGACCTCTCACATGTGTGCCACACTCCTAGGCACAGACTCAGCTACAAAGTCCAAAAATATTTATGGAGCCAAGGGGGTAGTTAGTCTATGTGCATGCAGCAAGAATTTTGCTAGACATGACTTATCCCTGTGCCAAAACACTGTGACCTCTGTGTACTATCATGGACAGCTAGGTCTTAAAGAGATAATGTATGTAGACACAGAGAAGATAAACATAATTCAAGGAAACATTGAACTTTATAAAACAGACCAATAACCACTAGCTCTTCTACATTTTATAACAACTGGTCCACTCTTTATTCCCATTTTATTGATGAGAACACTGCTTAAAGGAAAGTTGAAGAACTTGTCCACACATCACAGTTAGTGGTTATACTAGTTACTTTCCTTGATACTGTAGTCAAATGCCTGATAAGAGCAACCTTAGGGAGGAAGGATCACTCTGGCTAATAGTTTAATAATGAATACAGTCATTGGATTTAATGATTTAAAAAAGGACACAAAGTTGGGAGAGTTGTGTGTTTGGAGACTGGAGGAGTTGGACGGGGAGGGTGTGGATATGATCTAAATATGAGAATCTCAAAGAATACATTGAAAATGTTATAATTTCTATTTTAAAAAAAGGGATATTGTCTGTGGAGCGTACATGAGCTCCAAAGATGGTGCTTAGAGGAAGTTATCTCAGGTTGTTTAAGCTGAGACAAGATACAAAGATCAGGAGATGATGTCAGTGCAAAAACAACTTGTAAACAAGGAAATGAGTATAGGGTAACCTTTAAAATGATTGGTTGGTTCCTTCCACCCACTCCTAGGGTTCTGAGGTTTTTGCTATAAAAGAGGCTTACTGCCTAACAATAAATGAGTTCTTGCTTTGTCCGCTTCATCTGACTGTCTCCGGTAAGAGGAAGGCTGAGGAACGGGAGAGCAGCACACTTACCTTTCCTTGGTTCCAGGCCACTTCTTCAGAGATGACCCAAGTTCCTGGGAGGTCAAGACCCCATGCCTGGCCTTTTATATCAGACTTAAAAGTAGGATCGGCAGAGGCCAGGTGGTCTTCCAAGGTAAGTGAACCCCTCAATATGGGTAATGCTACTTCTTCAAGTGATAAGCCAGCCCCCAAGGCTCTGTGTTATATGCTTAAGTCTAGAGGGCTCGCTGGGTGGTGGGAGTGTATGCCTTTAATCCCAGCAGTTGGGAGGCAGAGCCAGGCAAATCTCTGTGAGTTCGAGGCCAGCCTGGTCTACAGAGCAAGGTCCAGGACAGGCACCATAGTGCCACCCCTGGGCTTCTACCCTACTATCACAGCTCTTAAGGTGGCTTTTCACCTGGATTCTCTGCCACCCCTTCTCAGGAGTCAAAAAGGGAGAATGATTCTCCCCAAGGGTTAGACAAGGAAAAACTAAAAACAGGGGGCCCCAGGGGGCCAAAAAGGACAGGGAAGGTTCTGAGAGTAAAGAAAAAAATAATTGGGCCAAATTAGGTGAGGAGCATGAGAGATGCGCAGAGATATATACAGTAGAGGTTAAAGCAAAAGTAAGTCTCTGCGCCCAAGCCCTGCACCCCAAGGGATTCTGGCCCTCAGCCTTGCAACCCTGGGGGCAGCATATGAGAGGGCATTCTGGGCTCCCAGGATTTCTGTCCGAGGGAAACCACCGAGCTGATGAGCTGGCATCATGATTTAGGATATTGACCTTAAAAGATAGTCCATGCCTGCAAGGCATGTCAGCCCTTCCTAAAGGTACCCCCCTTTATAAATGCAGAGAGTTAACCCCAGAGGCCTAGAGCCAAATATCCTCTGACAGATAGATGTTAAACTTAAATATATTTTTGTTTCAATAGAACAAAAGGGGGAATTAGAGCCCACATTCAGTTGCTCTGCACCCCACAGCCATCACGCTCTGGCCTCGGGGCTACAAGGACACCTGCATCAGGGCCTTCTGCTCCCCAGCCACTCCTTCGTGCCCCTTGTGGGGTAGGAGCTCCTGGAGTGACAATCCCTATAGAATCGATGACAGAATACAGGCTTGTGGTTGTGGGTACTGGAGGCGTGGGAAAGAGTGCCCTGACCACCCAGCTGATCCAGAACTATTTTGTGGATGAGTATGTTCCCACCATAGAGGACTTCTATCGGAAACAGGTGGTCATTGATGGGGAGACATGTCTGCTGGACATCTTAGACACAGCAGGTTGGGAGGAATGTGCTACTCTGCGGGACCAATGCATGCACACAGGGGAGGGTTTCCTCTGTGTGTTTGCCATCAACAACGCCAAGTCCTTTGAAGACATCCATCAGTACAGAGAGCAGATCAAGCGAATAAAGGACTCAGATGATGTGCCAATGGTGCTGGTGGGGAACAAGTGTGACCTGGCTGCTCGTACTATTGAGTCTCAGCAGGCCCAGGACCTTGCCCACAGCTATGGCATCCCCTACATTGAAACATCAGCCAAGACCCGGCAGGGTGTGGAGGAGGCCTTCTTCACACTTGTCCGTGAGATTCGGCAGCACAAACTGCAGAAGCTGAACCCTCCCGATGAGAGTGATCCTGACTGCACTAACTGCAAGTGTGTGCTATCCTGACTCCAGCTGATGGTCGTCCTGCTCTTCCTGGCTCCACCTGCGCCTCAGAGGGACACACACCAACCTCAGAGGGTGACCTGGGCAATGATCAATACTGGCAATGGACCTGGTCAGAGGATCCTGGGACATTGGGGATTGGACTCCCCTTTCATAAAGGACTTCAGTTCTCCCAAGTCCTCTAAGCCTGGCACCCAGTGTGAGGACACAGTGGGCTCCATGGATGGCCTTCTCTCCCCAGAGCTCTCATCCCCATACCCACTGCTGCCCCCATGTCTTTCAGCCTCCCGCTCTTCCCTGCAGCAGCCTCTGACACCTGCCCCAGGAGAGCTCTACCGCCTGCCTCCAGCAACTGCTACCACTTCCCAGAGCCCCACTGCAAGCTCCTCAATGTCTTTGGAGCCTGGGGACAATGATGACTAAATGGAGATGGCCTTTGGTGTGGCCACATCCCACCTCTGAGACCCACCCACTCTTCCACTGCAGCCCGTGCATGCACAGCTGATGGTGAAAGTGACTTCTGGTACCCTGGGGCTGGGGCTAAAGCTGTCTTTGCTGCTTCCACTGCTGGGCGAAGCCCTGCTGGACATCGACTTCTCAAGGGATGCTTACTGATAGATGCTGTATGTGGACCAGCCAGCTGGCACACCTCTGCTCTATGCCCATGCTCTACAGGATGCCCCTGAAGAAGTCCCCAGCTTTCACCTGGGCCAGCATCTCTCTCTAGCACCTTTCGCACATGGCTGCATGAGAATGATTGGATCTACATCCATGAGGACACTGGCTTCTACTTCAATCAGAGACCACAGTTCCTGGGAACAGATCAACATTCACAATGGTGGCTTCCCCTTGCTCACCATCTTCCTTCAGGTCTTCCTGGGGTCCACAACCCAGCTGGAGGACAAATGTCATTAGTCAGGCTGTGCCCATATGTGCTTCTCCTTCATCAATGACTCCTTCCCAGCATGCAGCTCCCTCAAATCCCAGGACCTCTGGGCTCTTGAAAGGTGAGAGTCTGCCCTTCCGTTGCAACCCAGACAGCTTGGAGGTGAGCACTCACTGGGCCCCTGATCAGGAGCTTCAGGAGAAGTATGTGCTGGAGACTGAGTGCATAATAGTGCATAATGGACACTGGTGCCAGCGAAGAGAAGGTCACTGTGTCCTTCCTGGTAACCATGTACAATGAGGACAACTCAGCATCCACCTTCTCCAGAGGTGTGGGGCTGACAATTCTCCATGGGACTGGACTCAAAGATGGATTGATTCTAGTAATTTCTAAATGTGACTGGAACAGCCTCCTTTTGGAAATTATCAGCTGTCTTTGGGGGGAAGGGGAAGGAAGGATAACCCTCTCTTTGTTCCTTTAATGGGTTTCTTAACTCTTCTCTCTGTAGATGTTCATGTCAGTACTTCAGATAGTAAAAGCCTTTTCTCCTGCCCACGACATTAGTAAAAAGAGACTTTTAGAGAAATCCCCTAAAATTTTTGTGTTTGCTTCGTAACTAAATCCCTCAGAAACAGTAGTGCTGATCTGCTAACTGCTTTTCTGTGTTTTCAATAAATGTTGGGTTTGACTTAAAAAGGGGGGTGCCAAACAGGTAAACTTTGTAAAGAAGTGCCCTGAGCTTGAACCTTAAAATAAGGTGGGCTTGTTTAAAAACAAAAAGGGGGGATCTGTGGGGCATACAGGATGACATAAGCTACAAGATGGTGCTGAGAGGAAGTTAGCCCAAGTTGTTTAAGCTGAGACAAGATACAAAGATCAGGAGACAATGTCAGTGCAAAGGCAACTTGTAAACAAGGAAATGAATATAGGGTGACCTTTAAAATGATTGGTTGGTTCCTTCCACCCCCTCCTAGGGTTCTGAGGTTTTTGCTATAAAAGATGCTTACTGCCTAACAATAAATGAGTTCTTGCTTGACTTGACTCCTCGCTGTGTCTGATTGACTCTGGGTAAGAGGAAGGCTGTGAAATGGGTGAGCGGCGCACTTACCTTTCTTTGGTTCCAGGCCACCTCTTCAGAGGTGACCTAAGTTCCCGGTAGGGCAAGACCCCACAACTGTCCATCTTGACAGGGAATGCACCACTGCAGAATCATGAGGAGGGTGGTCACATTGTGTCTACAGTCTGGAACAGAAAATACACAGGATGTAGGGCAGATTATAAAACCTTAAGTCATGCCCCCATTGCCTGACTCCTTCCAGTAAAGCTCCACCTCCTAAAGATTCTACAGCTTTCATGACAATTACAGGAAACCAAGAGTTAAAACCTACGAGCTCAAAGAACATTCCATATTCAGTCCACAATAGTGGCTGAGCTAGGATATGACAAAACTCCTTAAACCAAGATTTTTAACTTGGCATTCTTGCCTCTTAAGTATAGCTGTCCTCTTTCTTCATTTTTTAACTTTAAAGGACACCAAAAGACCATCTCCTACTGAAGGTTGAAAGGACAGAAGGGACTGTTTGCAACATATATGGCTTGGGTCCAAAATTATCTTAATTTTTGGTCTGTAAATTTTATTCAAATATAAGAACTCTTTGGATGAAATGCATTTGCAGTTTCAAAGTTTGCGTCTAAGACTAAGAAGATCCCTTGGTGGGTAAACATGTACTTTATATAAATACGAGGAAGTGAGTTAGAATCCCTAGCTCCAATGTCAAAAGCCATTCATGACCATAAATGTCTGTCATCTCAACACTGGCTTGAGAGGAGTGGGGACAATATTGATGGAGCTCACTGACCAATTAATCTAACTTGAATATAGTGAGTTCCAAGTTCAGTAAGAGACCCTGTCTCAAGGGAATAAGGTGGAGAGTGATAAAGCAGGGCATCCAGTACCCACCTCTAATTTCCAAAATGTTGTGCATGCATGGACAAATGTGAGTGCACACACACAAACACACACAAGTGTGCACACACACATTTTAGGTTTTCTTCTGTTCTCACACGGTGTTTGGTTGCAGCTTCTCCATTTTGAATGTGGCTTTATACACATATTTGGTGTCTTAGTTAGGGTTTCTATTGTTGTGAAGAAATGCCATGACCATGTCAACTCTTATAAAGGAAAGCATTTATTTGGGGCTGGCTTTTAAAATTAGCTTCAGGAAGATTCTTAGGACATGACAAAAGGCAGGCGCTTTCTTTGCCAGAATATCAGAATAATGGATCTGGTTGCTAATATTGTTACCCACTGAACCCCCTTGAGATGGGCCTTCATAGGCCTCATTGCTTTCAGCACTTTTGTCTTGCAAGCTCCAACTAGGATGACCCACTAAACCATGCTTAGAGTGTTTAACCTCTTTCCTAATCCAAAGTCCCAAAGTCTTCCATGTTCCTCCCCAAAACAGCATGGTCAGGCCGGCCACAAGCAATAGCCTACTCCCTGTTAGCAACTTCTGTTTTAGTTGCTTTCCTATTGCTGTGAAGAGACACCATGAGCAACTCACAGAATGAAAAGTTGCTTTAGGACTTACAGTCTCAGAGGATTGAAGTCCGTGACTATCACAGCAAAAAGCATGGCAGCAGGAAGACAGGCATGGCACCAAAGTAGTAGCTGAGAGCTCACATCTCCACTCACAATTGGGTGACAGAGAGTTAACTGGGAGTAGCATGGGATTTTAAACCTCAAATGTTACCCCCAGTGACAACCTCCTCCAGCAAGAACATGCTTCCTAATCCTTCCCAAACAGTTCCACCAATTGGGGACCAAGTATTCAAATACATGAGCCTATGGGGGCCATTTTTTTCAACATAACATTTTTATTGATTCTCTGAAAAGTTCACATCATGCAGCCCAATCACACTCACTTGCTAGTTCTTCCATGTCATCCCCCACCCTTATGACCTCCCCCTCCAAAAAGTGTAAAAATAAAAATAAGAATTAAAAATAACAAGAAAAACTACCACAGTGAAGAATAAAGGTATTCTGAGGAATGATATGGAAGGGCTAGCCAAGATGGCAAACTGGTTAGAAGACACCCTTTGGGGTGTCAAACCCAAAGAAACTACAGAACTTGATAAAGCACATTCATTTCAATAATTACCTCACTAGTAATAAAAGAGATCAACTAGTGGGAGAAAAGCAACACAGATGAGAAAAGATTAAAGCAAAGCTTCATGAGTCAGTGTGTGTTTGAATAGCGGAAGGCCAGCTAAAGAAAACAGGAAGAAACCATGTTCAGTAAAGGGCAGGATAGAAGACAGAGACTCACTGTGTCTTGTACTTCAACTCCCTCCAGTTCTTGGGAACTTTCCTTTGTACCAAATCTGATTGTTGCTCCCAGTGTCCTTAGGATACTCTCAAAGCAGTTCAAAAGCCTAGAAGATGCAATGAATTCATACAAACAAATATTCACTGAGTAGCTACCCAGGACATACATGACTCTTCTTCTCAACTCCCAAAGAACTGGTGGTGTTTAAGCCATGATGGTTTTCCCGATGCTAATGTCTTTCTTCACAAAGTTTCCTAAGTGTTCATGTTGCAGTCATCCTGATAGAATAGCAATGGAAGGGAAGACCCGGTGTACGTGCATGGCAACTGCATCTCCACCCTTTGACTCACCTCCTTTATTTGCCTTAAGTTACCAGAACTCAAAAAGTTAAACTGGCCTTCAGTCATTCCCCCATAGATGTTAGAGCTTCCCAAAAAGGAGCTTTCAGGACAAGGCCACTAGAAGGCTCAAAAGATAGCTAGAAGACAACAAAGTATACCCTCTGCCAGCAATCAAGAAACACTGATGAATCCAGAAAGCTATAAAATATATGTTGGAGGACTTAAATGGCACTGCTTGCAACACAGAGGGAAAACAAGGGATCATATAAAGAGCCCAGTGGGATGACAGGTTCTAGAAAGGCAATCACTGGAGTGATACTAGGCACAAGAGTAGAAGTAAATACTGTTGAATTAATTACATGGACACAACTTTCAAATGAATTAATGAAATAGAAAATCAAATTTTAAATCTCTACAGAAAGAAATTATATTTAAAAAGCAGAATATCAGAACTGAGAGGCAGAGATGGAAGCCTCGGTATCTGGGCAAAAGAAGTCCCAAAAATAACACAAAAGTGAAAATAGAGAATTGAATACACAATTATTAAAATGTGGTTTAAAATCTCCACAACTTGATTAAAAGAAAAGGTAGGGAAAAGGAAGTTAGTAGAGAAGAGAAAACAAAAATATCCCATGTTTTCCCTCATATGCAGAATTTAGATTTAAATATATAAAACCAAATAGCTAGTTGTAGAGAAGAGAGACTGACAGGGGGTTAGGAGATGCAGTCAGCAATGGAGGGGTGAATATGGGCAAATTATGAAGTGATTTAAAGGTCACAGTGAAATCTATTATTTTGCACACCAA